GGGAGATAACGAGTACTCTCATCATATGCGCGGATAAATGTACGTCGATTGGAGAAATAAACGAAACGTGCATAAATCCATTGTAATTAGCTCATATATATATATAGATAGATTTGTATGATTTATCGCGATTGAAAACGTATACATTTTATTATTATACACCCCCTTTATAGTAACCCTTAAACGAATCAATTTATATTAACAAATATATATATATATAAACGATATATAATCATAAAAATATTTTAAATTGGAAAACTTAATAAGTATAGTAATAGTTAACTAACTTAATAAATAATATTAACTTAATAAATATATAAAAAATTTGACAATATTACCAATATTATCGATAGGACAATATCTAGAACAATTTGAAGTATTTGAATGACTATATACAGTTTACAATTTGAAGTATTCGAACAACTATATACACTTTATTATTATATACCCCTTTATACTAACCCTTAAACGAATCAATTTATATTAACTAATATATATATATATAATATCGTATATATAATATATACGATATATAATTATAAACAAATTTTACATTGGCAAACTTAGTATTCGAATATATTCGAATGACTAGGTGACAAGCCAGGTAGAAAAATACGATTAAACAAAATAGACGAGAATCTAAGAAAGTAAAAAAAAGAAATAAAATGAATAGTAAGAGAAGGAATCGCGTCACTTTGTTAGAAAGCAGGAAGGACAACGTTAAAAGTCACGTCTTCGTTTCTAGTACAAGTTCGAAAAGGAAAAAGAAAAGAAACAAGAAGAAAGGAAGAAACATAATAAGAATAAGAAGAAGAAGAAGAAGAAGAAGAAGAAGTAGAAGAGGAGAAGGACAAGAAAACTAGAAGTATCATGGGCTTGGTCGTCTGGTCAGTCTGAATGCCCGCGGCTGGTCTGGTTCTAAGATTACGATCATAACGAAAAAGCTTCTCGCTCCCATTCCTTGCTACTACAACCTTCTCTTTCTCTCTCATTCTTAGGTTCCTGCTTATTTCTCTTTCTACGTGTATGAGAACGTCCGGCAATGGCTGCATCGCATATATACATACATATATATATATATATATAGCATTGCAAGTCGCGGCATGCATTATGGAACGACCGGCAAGGATTCTCTAGCGGAAAAATTGCGGACACGCGAAACGGACGCGATCTGCAGCTTGACTAGCTAGATACCTTGCTAGATACCCACCTACCTATCTACCTACCTACCTATCTTACCACTTGGCGATATCTACCTACGTAGAAAATCTTCAAGATAATGGAGAAAGATGGATAGATAGATAGATAGATAGATAGATAGATAGATAGATAGATAGATAGATAGATAGATAGATAGATAGATAGATAGATAGATAGTTGCAGAAAGAAAAACGCCCTTTTTCTACTGGGAATAGATACACATACATATGTATATGTATATATATATTAGATAGATACATAGAAGCAGTTGGTTCTCTTGTTGGTCAAACCGCTATGAAGGAGTCGCTAGACGAGAAGATTGCTTTCCTATATCGCATCGATGACTTTCCCTTCCGCTTCTTCATCTTTATTTTTATTTTTATTTTTATCTTTTTCTTTTATTTTATTTTATTTTTTTATTTTTCTTTCGACCAACCGGTACTCGACTAGACTCTCACTGTTTTCCATTTTATAAGAAATTATAAAAAGAAGATGTGTGCGTCGGAATAAGACCACAAGGCTGTTGCAGTTCAGTGCTACCAATCTATGAAGGCAAGGAATAAATAACCGTGTCGTACGATTTGACAGTTCGGTGAAGACGTATATCATTCAAGGTAAGATACGGTTTTGTTCCAGTATTATCATTAATTTTTTTTCTGTTTTATTGTTAGACCAGTTTTGATTTTATTTGTTTTGCGAATGACGTTGTAACAATACACCGAGTGTTTCTTATTTTAGTGAAAAGAAGATTATGATCAAAAACCAGTATTATCGATAGCGCGTAAAATGTTGATTGACGTTACAAAGTGTGTAAAAAAAAAGGCAACAAAAATTCTACTCGATTTTTAAGGAATAAATAATAATAACAGCATCATTGATTGATTGTTTAAATGGAACAAATATCTCTCTCTGTTACTTTTAATATTATCATTCTTCATTTTTTTTATTCGCAAAATCGTACGTGACATTCACGAGCGTTGGCGGAAGAGGTCGAAAGATGAGAACGACTCGTGGGACTCATAAAAGTTAGGAAGAAAAAAAAAAGAAAGAAGGAGAAGAAGTCTCAGGTAAAAAAAAAATTTGCGGCGAACGATCTAAAGCAAAAAAAAAAGGAATAGTTGGATGGGTGGGGGTGAAAATAGAAAAAAATAGGTAAAGAAAAAGCATTTGCTAGAAAAATAAAAAGACATTTTTCGCACGGCTGGTGTCTTGAAAAATATATTCGGCATATATGTGGTGGTGTGGCTGACAGCTAAACTTTTACGGGTTTCTATTAATGGAACTATGACATGTCCGAGAGAAAAGAAAAAAAAAAGGAAGAGAAGTGGGAAAGGAAGAGAAAACATATCACGTGTCTCGTATATACTTGGCACGATGTTGAAGAAGAAGAAGATGCTGCTGTTGCTGCTGTTGGCTAAAGTGGTACCGTGCAAGGCTTAATAAAAAAATAACAAGATAGACAGTTAAAGAAAGAGAATGAGAAAAAAAGAAAGAATGAAATACTATATTCCGTTGCTTTTCTTGTTCGTTCAAAATGCTGAGAACACATCAGTACTCCTCCTTCCTTCCTGTTTTCTTTGTCAATGACTTAACATAGAAAACGAGTCATTTAAATATCTCTACGTGAAACATGATACATGACGAATCGCAGCACGCCTAATCGTTTTCAAAAGTAAACATTCTCTTATATAAGTTTTCTTTTTTTTTATAATCTTTCTTATTTCATTCAGATTAAACTAACCACACATTAAGACACGAATCTTTACGAAAGATTCGAGATAAAAGTGTTATTTTATAGTATTGTAAATATTATAATTACAAATACATGAAATTACAATTACAAATATATGAAGTATTAACCCATTACTCACCATAAAACGAAAATGCAAAAAAAATTAAATTAATTATATATTGATATTATAATTATATTATAATTATTATATAATGATGGTGAAAAAATTAAAATTAATTTTGTAACAATTGTTTTTTTTTTTTTTTATTTAAATATACAAATTATTTTATATCATTAATTATTGATTTGAAATAAAATAATTAGAACTTTCAATAGTTGTAGGTATTAAAAAAGTTCTAGTTCTGAAGTTGTAGTTATTAAAAAAAAAAAAAAAAAAAATTGTGTCCCAAAATGGATCATTGACGTCTAATAGGTTAAAATCATTTTATACTATATTAACGAGCATGATTCAACATAACGTCGATTCAACATTGTAACGATCGATAGACAATCAATATATATATTCATCGAGGACACCCGAGAGTAAGGACACTTNATACAAATTATTTTATATCATTAATTATTGATTTGAAATAAAATAATTAGAACTTTCAATAGTTGTAGGTATTAAAAAAGTTCTAGTTCTGAAGTAAAAAAAAAAAAAAAAATACAACTTGAAAATGGGTCCAGAAAAAAGCCCATTAGCGAGTAATGGATTAATATTCTTTAAAAAATAATAAATGAGCATGATTCAACATAACGTCGATTCAACATTGTAACGATCGATAGACAATCAATATATATATTCATCGAGGACACCCGAGAGTAAGGACACTTAAAATTTTATTCTTACGTTCACCGATAATGAGCTTGGTTTGCTGTAAGATAAAGATAAAAGAGAAAAATAAAAAAAAAAGAGTGAAAGAGTAGCATGAATAATTCATGAATACTCGATTGGAAGTAAGGATACATGTACTCTCGGTGCGAAAACGATGACCGATTATCGACAATAATTTTTCTCAAAGCTACTTTAACAGCGTGCTACTTCTTCGAAAAATGGTAATCGAGAAAGTATCAAGAAGGTATGTCGCCTTGTTGAATCGAGATTAAAATTGAGGTGGAAGAAAGAAGAATCGAGATTTAATGAAAGGCCGCAACTTTCGATACTGGGATCTATAACTATCGATACAACCGATCGAAACAAGAGAAAGAGAGAACCGTTACTTAAACTATAAAACTACTATGATTATCCATCATCTCTTTCTCTCATTCTCTTTCTCTCATTCTCTTTCTCTTTCACCCCCGCGTAAATTGATATGCCACAAAGGATATTTTCATCTCCACTTCGTATACACACACAATTGTATATTATATTATAAACGAGTGCGTGTTACTACCAGGTATATCAACGTATGTATGCATCATGTGTATATATGTCTATATATGTGTATATATATATCGTGTCGGTAGCTTGGAAATAATTATATGATTATATTCCCTGTACAAAGGTGGTGGTGATGATAGTAGTAGTGGTGGTAATCGAGCAAGGATGCGTAATCTCCATGATAATAATCATCCGTGAGTTTCGATCATTTGCTTCTTTATTTGTGTCAGAACGTGATATATAATTATTATAGTTCATCGTTAGCAACGACATTAAAATTTTTTTAAATAAATATTCTTTCTCTATGAAAATGATACTTTTTTATACGATTAAAAATAATTATAAGAACAGAATTTATTTGTATTTCATAAATAACATTAATTTAATTGATTTTTATGTAAAAAAAAATATCAATTTAAATCGACAATACGAAATTGAAATTTAATTTATCATATAAATATAAAACCCGATTTTTTTTTATGGGATCAAAAATAATTAGAAACATATAGGATTTATTTGTATTTCAAATATAATATTAATTTAGTTGATTTTTGTATAAAAAAAATATTATTTTAAATCGATTATACAAAAAACTGTGAAATTTATCTTATCATATAGATATAAACAATGATATTAACGATATTTTTAAATGATGAAAAGTTTAGATATGATAAGAGTACTTACCTGTAGATGAACCTGACCGTTGTTGTCCACCCAACCAATAACCATGTCAGCTCCCTCTCGACCATCCTCCTTCTTGAAACCAAGCCCGACATAACCAAGGGTCTTCACTTGAATCTCGAAAGTAACTTCCTTGTCGCCTGGTGTCCACAATACGAGAAAATTATTGTCCAAGATAGCGCTGTGTTTCCACTCGACGCAAAAAACTGTGTTCAAGTGGAAAAGAACTAACGACAACGTCAAATATTTCATTTTTGTTTTTTCTTTTTTTTTTTTTCTTTCTTCTACTTCTCTTTATAACAAAATGACGAATGAACTCTTCCTTCAGTGCATCTGTAACAAAACCAAAATGAAACTAACATTAGATTATTGAATTAAAAAAAAATATGTAAAATCGATGGTATGTTTTTAAATCAAATAAACAAAAAAACTCAATTCCAGTTTATTTAGTTATTTTTTTTTTGGTTATCGTCGCGTTTTGGGGTAACACACACCACCGTACTTCCGTCGTTATTCATACTCTTTTGTTCGTAACAGTTAAATTTTGGTCGATAGAAACGAATCCCCCATCTCCCCACCCACACCCACCCTGAATCGATAGTATCGTGAAAAATTTCTACCCTTAGAAATATAAAAATCATTTACATGTGTACTAAACCTAAAAATTGGAATTGAAATTTTGATTATATGTAACGGTAAAAGTTTCACCTTAGTAAAAGATAAAACTTTTGTTTCTGAACTACCTCAGGATATTTACTTTCAAGCATGATATATCGTGTTACAGTTTAATATGGTACTAGAGAGTCACTCTCCACCGGTAACACCCCCCCCCTCCCCCCACCCCTCCACCAGGCTTGTGCTACTTAAAACTTTTTAACGCGATCGCGCAAAGAGAACACAAGCAACATTTTCTTTTCATATTTTATTTTCTACGACGCATCTCATTGTATAGACAAATACATACATACATATATATATATATATATATATATAATACATATAATATGTATGTATAATGCATAATATATATTTATAATTTACATTATAATTATATCTAATTTATATACAATATAATAATTATATTTTATTTTTTAATTATATGGTATATTAAATATATAAAATTAAATATTTTATATTTTATATTATAAATATAATATATAATTATATATAATTTTTATAAATTTTATATATTATAGTTTTACATATTATATTTATTATATAAATATTATATTATATAATATATTTATAATATTTATAATTTACCGTACTATTATCGATAAAATACTATACACACATATATATATATTACAATACGTATTTTACGTATAAATGAAGCAAGAACAAAATAAATTTAATTTGAACTACATTCATCAGAAACCAAGTCATGAGTTAAAAATATTTTTTGTAAAAAATACTCTTACAATTCGTGTTACTACTCCTTATTAATAATAAAAAAGTAAAAGAGGACTGATTTAAGATCACGGTTTAAAAAAAAAATTTACTCTTGTTAAGAAGAAACATCGTAATGGATTTATTTATCTCTCATTTGTATTCATGAACATACCACCACGTATATTAATTATCTGGTTATTCTACTCGTTTCTTTATGAAGTCATATTAACCCTTTTTCTCCGTTTATTGAGAAGATTGAATGAAATAAGAGTAAGATATATATATATGAAGATGTTGACCATGTTTCTGTCAAGAATTAGAACATTGCATGGAAGTGTGAATGAGTACAAAAAGGGAGATCTAATAAAAAGAAAGAAAGGAGTTTAAGGAATAAAAATGATAAAAAATGAAAATGAGTGGGAGGAGGAGGAGGAGGAGGAGGAGGAAAAGAGTAGACGCAAAGAATCGGTTCGACAAGAAACTGCAGAAAATGGAGTTTCCAAACGAGTGAATGCACAAAGGGAAAACCGTCTGCTGCTGGGTTGTTCGTCTACGTACGAGACCTATGAAGGAAGAAAGGTTGTAACTTTATAACAGACGATTGGATGAAATAGTAGCAGACAGAATAAGAAACTACGATAAAACCATGTAATTTGCATTTTTACCAATCGGATGAGTATATGAGACAAGCACAGAAGCGCATATTGTTTAAACAGGGTCAACGAGCTTGTTTCATCAGACTATAAACGAAGACATTAAATGTGTTCCAGTTAGTTTGATCTCTTATTTAAAAAAAAAATAAAAATAAAGTGAAAAAAAGATTCTGCTCTTAAAATTTTCCATCGTGTTTATAGTACGAATTTGTTCCTTTTTTATTTGTTTTGTTTATTCTTTGTTATAAAAATAAAAACAATAAACGAAATAGAAAAGGAATATAGTTAAATGAAAGATATGTTAAGAATTTTACAAAAAGAAGACGTATAAAATAGAAAAATTGTGTGTTTACCAATGTAAAAAGTCGTATGTTGTGGGCAACATTATTTTTTTCTTTCTTACAAGAGAAAAATTGGTTATGTCAACGTTTCGTTGCTGAAAAAGCGGGTTAGCTGCTGTTACTACTGCTGTTACTGCAGCCTCGTATTTTATTCCTCTATAACTCGATTATATATATATATATATATTTTTTTTTTTTTCAAATATCTCGCATTTTGATAAGCAAATGTATTTTAACCCTTCTGGTATTCGTTAAATTGTTACACTTTCGAATACTTCTAAAAGCTTGAGTTCATATTTTCAATTTTATTTCTTTTTATTTTACCATTCTGGTATATAAACATAAAAAAGAATAAAATTGAAAAGATGAAAGAGAGATAGAGAGAGAGATAGAGAGAGTGAAAAATATAAAAGGGAAGAAATAATTTAATAAATAAAGTAGATTAAAATCTTAGCTTTTTTGAGGGGGCGGGGATGGACTATGGTGACACGGAGTGTTATAAACGCTTAACGAGTCGAGTCGAGTACAAATTGAGTAGGTACAGGGTGTAGTAGAGAAGTGTCGTACTCGCGTTAAAAGCGTTTGCACGAGATAGAAACCTGCTGTCTCTCTCACTCTCACCACATTCTCTCACTCTCTCACTCATGTGTTCGTTCGTTCGAAAGGAAAGACCTCTTCAAAATCACGAGTAGCTACAAGTTTGGAGAATTTCGTATGGTCGTTGGTTGGTTGGGGGTTGACTATGTTGAATCTATTCCAACATTGTAGTAGTAATAGTAGTATAGTTCTCTGCTTTTATCGTAAACAGATCAATTTAAAGCTGCTATCGATCGGTTGGTCGGTTGGTTGGTTGGTTGGACGGTACTCGCGATTAACCTTTGCCTAGTTGGGTTAGATTGAAATCGAGTAATTATACCTCTACTCTCGCGAATTCTATTGACAGAGATTGCACGTAGTGAAGAGAAGGAGAATGGGGATGAACTGACAACAGAAGTATAAGCTCGTTCTCGTATTATCAGTAAAATACAAATTTGTTATAATATAATAATAATTTTATGAGAATATAGATCGTAATTGTTAAAAGTATATATATATACTATATTGCGATGAATTGAAAAAAGAAACAAATTTATAAAAATGATTCTTGTAATCTCATTCATTTCCTCCTATCCAAGGTAAGATTATATCCATTGTTGTTTTTATTCGATCGTGAACGTTCAACGAGTGTAAATTACATTTCAGAAAATAATACCCGTCTAATCTTTCTCGATTTACGCGTATCGAAGAAAATCCTCCTCCTTCCCATTTTGTTATTAATTGAACTATATATAGAACGTTAGTTAGAAAATTCATCAAAAAAATAACCGTAACAGTAATTTCTTGATGGATTCTCACCGTTAAAATCTATTTCGAAGCAATACGCGTGCAATAGGATGATTTTGTAATTAACAGACGCATTTTCTCACACATATACTAACATTTAACGTTCATATAAAGACAATCAATTCAATTAACAACAATATAATACCAATGTGATAATACACGTCTGAATGACGTGTTGTATTTCTGTTAGGAAATATCAATGATGATGATGATGATGATGATGCATCATCCATTCATCAATGCAACAATGCAGCTTTCAAATATACTCGAGATCATCCTCACCATAACCGCCACTACATAAAAATAAAAACTTGCACAGAAATTGAAAAAGAACACGGAGGAGGAAAGAAGGGGGGGGGGGTGATAGATGAAATAATAGATCGTAAAGAAAGAAAGATGAGAAGAATATGTGACGATTGCGAAGGTGACTACTACTACTATAAAGTAGGTGGTGGTGGTGGGTGCAGTTTCCGTGCTTCGGCAGCGGCTTTGATTTGCGGCGTGTCGTTCAGTCGATTGCTCTCAAATTGCGTCCAGTACCGGTGTGGCATCAACCTGAAACGTCCAACAACCCCCTTGATACACTCCCTCCTCCCTTCTTTACCTCCCACCACCATCTACTCACGATACTTCCACCAAAATTCCACACCCTCTAGCAACACTCACGTAGACACTCTGTGCGAGTGGTTAGAGACTCTCTCTCTCTCTTTTTATGCCTATTGCAYAGTCCCTCTCTCTCTATTTCTCTCTTTCTCTTCTCTTTCTATCGTTCTCTCAATTTTCCACTCCCTTTTGTAGAAAACGCGACGCCTCGTCTCGTCTCGCCTCACTTCACCTCACCTCACTTCACCTGTCCTCCCACTTTTCCACAACCCAACTTCTCTTACTATTTCTCTCTCTCTCTCTCTCTCTTTCTCTCTTTCTATTTCGTTCTTTCTCACTCTTACTCATACAAAAGCCTCTAGTGCTTGCCGGGTTAAATAAATCGACGGGCGTGTTCGGTAAAACGTCCGAAATCGAAATGGTATATACGTTTTCGTAGTTTCACGCTCGCATGCTATTCGCAACTGGTAGGGGGGAGGGAGAAGGGGTTGGAAAAGGGAGAAGTTGACGTTCGCTAGAACGAAGTTTTCGATATATATATGTATATATGGAGTGAGAGGTGAACGGTGATTAGTCGAGGTGTGTGTTTGAGTATTTTTTTTTCTCCTTTTTTTTTTCGTTTTATTTTCGTTTTATTCGATACATAGATATTTTGGCCAACTCGAAAGCCCAAATTTCGTTTAAACGAATGAGTTACAATCTATCATTTATATATATATATATATATATATATATATATTTTTTTTTTTTCTTCTTTTCTTTATTTATGATTTTCTCTGCTTTTTTTTTTTCATTTTATCTTCTCGTACG